TAATTTGAAATCCTTTAATTTAAAATGTAAGCCTTTAGAAGAACATCCACGATCTATCAACTACAGTTTTATGTTATCCCTGTCCTAACTTCTCAGCAGCTCATCTAACCAGCTGAGCCAAGGAGGGCTTTATGTAAACTTTAACACACACAACAACTCTGAGTCTATACTAGGTTCTATAACATATGATAAGGGCTTTATAATGCATATAAGAGACTAATTGAAAATATATGTGTGTGACTGTATGTGCATGTAAGTATACCTTTTTATCTTTATGTGTATAAAGTAAGCATTACCATTTCCTACTTTTCATGAAGGCAACTGATCATTTATGAAAGTGACGGTCCAGTTTTCTACAGGTACTACAAAGAAGGAAGATTCAATATTAAAACCAGTTTCATCATCAAAAAAGCCCTTGCTTTTCATCATTTGGATGGTCTTTGGATATATGTCTACAGAGAAATTAAATTTGAGATTATGGGACTATAGGAATAATATTTAAGTACTACAAATCAGATTAGGTTTTTGTTCACTTATTTACATGCAGTAACTAGTGTAAAGAGGATCATTTTATTGTATTTTAAATGAATGTTCAATGAGAAACAGTCAACAAATCAAATTATCAATTCATTACTCATGGCCACATTTGTACTGTTTCTGTTAGCATTTTTAAAAAGCACCACATAGATGGTTTATATACAGCAATCAACTCTTTAGTAACAGCATTTTAATATTTACAAGACAATTTTACTTTGATGCTCTGAAAAAATAGTTGAAACCCTGGAACTATATGCTCAGGTGATACTGAGATCCTCTGTTCACACTGTTTCCATATGAGCTGCACATTTCACTAAAAGTAGACGTTGAGTGTAGAAGCTTACCTCACTCCTAGAAATAAAGTTACAATCGATTCAGAATAGTGTGCTTGCAACAAAAAATGCTTCCTCTGAGTAATGTGTACATCCTGGTAGAGAATCTCTCTTGCAGGTAATACTAAAAAATGATGAGGTTTTCAAGGCAGTGAAAACAAAAGAAAAGACAATCAGCATGCTCAGCTACAAGTTTACTATTCATTCTCTCTGAGTTCTTGGAGGACTCTCCTACCTCGTCATTATTTATAGAAATAAAGATGACAAAATGTCATTTCTCATTATGATTCATAGAGCTGTGTCTGTAGAGAGCAAACGAAGGAAGGTGCTCAAAACAACTTGCCAACAGGTCACTATGCTGTAGTCAATCAAAATTTCTTTGTCTTGGATGGTTTTCTTGACTACGTTAGATTCTAGAAAATCTTTGTTCAGAAGAAGGCCAGTATGTCCTAAGAAAAAAAACATTCAAATGAAAAAATGATGACCAAAGTTGGCCAGCATGCAGTCTTTTTCTTCTGAAATTAACGACCAGGGCTCATGTTGGACTTCAAAGGGCGATGCATGTGGACTAGCAGGGAAATACGGAGACACTGAGCTCTCTGGGGATGTTCCCCATGAGTACATCTGGAGGCCCTCATTTCTCTTTCCTAACAAAGAAGCAATTAAATCACCTGCTGGAATTAAACTAGATGAACTAAGTGTATCCATACATGTTTATATCATCCTTTTCTAATTAGTAATTTACAAAATGCCATCAAAATCCTTTACTACACAAGAGTAAACAGTGGCCAAACTTATATTCTTGTTCCCACAACCATCAACACCCTTTATACATTTTCTCACACTCTTTGTGGTCAAGTCCTCCTACCTATTGGGCATGGCAAACACCAAACCCCCTTTGTCCACATAACATTGTCTTTGCAGTGATGTCCCTCCTTAGACTCCTCTTTTCAATTAGAATAATATCTTTGAAGTGACTTTCCTTCATTCCCTTATCTGGAGTTTTACTGTTTTTTATCATAAAGTTAAATTCCATCATTAGCATTTCCCACACTTTAACCACCATGCATCAGTAAAGGAATATTTGTGCTGTTTCCATTGGTCTTCTTTTGTTTCTTTGTGTCTTAAGACAAGGTCCCTCTATGGTTCAGACCAACCTCTACCTTCAGAGTGCTGGGATATCAGACATACTATTTCACTGTTTGTGATTACAATTGAAGCCAGCATGAATTTCCATTTTTTCTAAAGCTGTTCTTAACAACATAGACATTATAGGAAAATACTTTCTAGCACATTCTATGAAACCAGCATTTCCTGATACCAAAGCCAGACAAAAACATCAAGGAAATAAAGTTACAGATAATATCTCTTTTGATTATACACATAGTGATGCTAAGAAATGTGAAAAAAGAAATCCATCAGTATGTTAAACATAGAAGAAACCATTGCTGTTTATTTCCAAGAAATGTAAAGATGCTTCATTATGTAAATGTAAATTTCATGATAAAACTACTATCATAGAGAGAAAAGAAAAACTCAGTCCCCTTATAATCTAGAATAAGCATTTGTCAGATTACTTTTCATGATACAATCTCTCTCAGAGCTAGGAAGAGAAGTGAACTTCCCCACATATTAAAACTCTTATTAAAGCTCACAGTCAAGGGACTGGAGAGATGGCTCAGTGGTTAAGAGTACTGGCTGCTCTTGCAGAGAACCCAAGTTTGATCCCCAGCACCCACATGGTGACTAACTACTGTCTATAACTCCAGTTCTAGGGCATCCAGCACACTCTTCTGACCTCCATGGGCATTGCATAACATGGGTGCACTGAAACACATGCAGCCAATACCCCTATACACATAAAATAAAAATAACAAATAAAATCTTTTAAAAAATAATAAGTAAAATAAAATGTGAAGTGGCTGGAAAGATAGAACACATACTGCTCTTGTAGTGCACCAAAGTTCAGTTCCCAGAACCCATCTCTGTTGATTTCCAACAGCCTATAAATTCAGTTCCAGGGAGAATCCAATGTCTGTGACATCCAGGATCAGCTGTACTCACATGCACATAATCACAAATGGACACACACACATACACAGAATTAATAACACTAAATCTGTATAAAGGAAAATGCACGTGACGATTCACTTGAAATTGGATTTTCAGGAAATCACCATGACTAAAACTGTAGTATGTAATTATTAGGTTCCAAATGCAGATTAAAATGCTTCTACAATGCAGAAAACATTCTGTACATTTTCAAATATTCTACTTGTCTATCTAAAGTGCTTTTATACTATGGTGAGCACTGCATTGTCAGTGGTTCAAACATTCAGTATATTGAAACAGCTGGACTCAAAATTTCATTATTTTACTGATTCATTTAACAAGTATGTATTAAGTATATAACAATAGATCAGATTTCATTCCCGGTACCAAGCAGGAACATGTAAACAAAACAGATGACGTGTTTGCAGTCATGGGGTTTAAGATTACAGTTGAGGTGCTGATAAGCCCTATGAAGACCAAGACAGAGAGGACAGGATGAATGGGGCAGGGAAAGTGACTACCACATAAAACAGGGCAAGGAAGGTTCCCAGCACCCTTAGCATTTGTTTATGCATAAAACTCAATGTAATGAAGTGAACTTCCACACAGGGGGTCAGCAAGCACAAGTACTCTGAGGTAGAGGCATGCTTGGAGTTGTACAGAACATCAAGGATTCAGAATGGATGAAATGAGGTTAAAGATGGGGAGTGAGGAAAGATGATGTAACTAAAGTGAGTTATGAGCAACACTGTGCATTTCAGAGCATGTGCAGAGAGAGTGCAAGAAAACAAGAGCAGTCTTAAAATAGCGTGAATGCAGTTGTCATGATTCTGATCAAAATACATTGTATGAAATCCTCAAAGAATTAATGCAATCTGTTTCTAATTAGTATGAATATTTGGAGTCATACTGATCATTTTAAAGTGTAGTTGTTTTCACCCCACTTGTACTATGCACTGCCTAATTTATCCTTTTGAAAGGTATTACGTGAAATAAGGTTTTTATGTGAGTTCAAGGCCAGCCTGGTCTACATAGTGAGTTCCAGGACAGCTGGGGCTACAGGGAGCCCCTGCCTCAAAAAAAGGCCAAAAAAAAATTACATGGTTAAGACAAATATTAATTTTACATACTTTAGTTGTCTTTTCTCAGGAAATAATACCAGGAATGTGAACGCATATTTTTAAAAATGTATCTTAGAAGTTACAACTTAGAAAACTTAGAATCATTATTCAACTAACAAAAAGAATACTAATTCGGTATGAAACTACTCAAATAAGTTAAATTATTTATACTGAACACTAACAATGGATCTTGGGAGATGGTTCAGTGGATAAAGTAAATGCCATGCGAACATGGATACTTGAGTTCAAATTTTCAGAACTATCATAAATGCTTGGAGGGCATGGGCACCCACCTATAAGTCCAGCAACTGAAAGTAGAGATAGGGGATCCCTGGAGAAAGTTGGCGAGATAGATTAGCTGATCCATCAACTCTGGGTTCTACTGGGATACTTCAGATCAATGAAGTTAGAGAGTCACTGAGGAAGACTCCCATCTAGCTTCTGGCCTCCATACCCACAGGCAAACACATGTACCTGTGCAAGCATGTGCATCTACATATATGGAAACATGCATAGGTATATGCATGCACACTACACTCACATACACAGGCAAAAATTTCAATCACTATCCAAGTTCCCTTTACCTCTTGACGCTCTTCTCCCCCTGGGGCCATAAACAAGGACTTACTTTCCTGGGTTTATTTTGCCTCCTTTTTTTAACATATAAATCATTAGTAGCATATGAAAGAGAAAATGCATGTTGAAAGAATTAATAAATACAATGGATAAGGAATTCTTTGAAAATCATAACAAAAATGTTTTTGCACATCCCCTTAGCTATTCTAATTCAGGTATTAAATTTTCAGCATTGTTTCCTTTTTATGGAAAACAAATGTTGAAAAGAGAAAAGCATTTATTCTTCTATTCACCATCAGTGAGAACATAAAATGTCACTTGTTTCCTTGAGAAAATCAGAGAGGCATGAAGCATAGTGACACTGAATCCTACAATGCTGAGCTCAAATTCCTAGTGAGTATTTTGTCTTCTCCACAGCCTTCTTGAATGCCCTTTTCACTTCTTTGTTCCGTAGGCTGTAGACCAGAGGGTTCAGCATGGGGATGACCATGGTGTAGAACACGGACACAGTTTTGTCAGTGTCCATGGAGTGACTGGAGCTGGGCTGTAAGTACATGAAAATAAGAGTCCCGTAGAAAATGGAGACTGCAGTGAAGTGGGAAACACAGGTGGACACAGCCTTCTGGTAGCCCTCACCTGAGTTCATCTTGAAGATGGCGATAAAGATGAACATGTATGATATCAAAATGACAAGGAGCGCAGAACAGATCACAAAGCTATCTGCATAAACAAGGACCATCTCCCTAATATTTCTATCAGAGCAAGAGAGAACCATGACTGCTGGAATATCACAGAAAAAGTGATGGACCATGTTGGACTTACAGAAGGAGGCCCTGAATGTTTCCCCAGTGTGGATGCAGGCATTGAGGAATCCACCAGCATAGCAGGCCATGGTCAGGCAGGCACATGCATGTGTGGTCATGGTGGTGCTGTAATGCAGGGGTTTGCACACTGCTGCATAGCGATCATAGGCCATTGCAGCCAAGAGGAAGTCTTCTGTGGAAGCAAAGATTGAAAAGAGGAACAGCTGACCAGCACAGGCATTATAGGAAATGACTTGTTTTCCTGCAAGCAGGCCAGCCACAGCTGTAGGAGTGACAGCTGAGGAGTAGAAGATGTCCACGAGAGACAGGTTACCTAGGAAATAGTACATGGGAGTGTGGAGCCGAGAGTCCCAGAGAATCAGCATAAGCATGCCCAGGTTTCCAGTCATATTGATGAGGTAGATCAGAGTGATCATGATTAAGAGGGGAACCTGCAGTTCTGGGGCATTTGTTAGTCCCAGGAGGATGAACTCTGTCACCTCTGTCCCATTCTCCATCAGGGTCATTTGGGAATCAGGAAATGCACTGGGTTGAGAAGGAAGTGAAGCATATTAAATATAGTGGAGAATGCCTAGGAAATGAAAGATCCTTATACCACAGGGGGCATTATTTCATTATAACAATAGCATGTGTTTCAAGTTTCATTATAATTAGGACCAGAGAAATAACTCGGGGTAAAAATGTTTCTTTCTAGCTCGTTGACCTGAGTTCAAGCCTCAAATTTCTACAGTGAAAGGAGAGAGTCATCTCTAGAAAGTTGTCCTCTACCACAAATGAGCATGACATGATTGTTCACTCAGACATATCATACACACACAAAATAACAAAATCATAAACATTATAATAAAATGTTGTACATTGATTTCTGTAGGACCTCAGGCTATTGAACAAAGTGAACTCAGATTTTCTTTCCAGTTTTATGTCATGAATTTACAATATCTTGAAAATTTAATATAATTTAAAGTCTTATTTTATTTTTAATTATGTGTCTATTTGGTTATGTGGATATATCTGCAGTGTGTTCAGGGTCCAGAGGAATCCGATTCCTTGGAGCTCAGGTTACTGGTGGCTGTGAACAACCAAACATGGTTGCTGCGAATGAAACTCAGGTCCTCTGCAGGAGCAAGACGTGCTCATATTTGCTGAAATATCCCTCCAGCCACATTTTGAAAACTTAATGAATCTCATCCAATGTGACATTTCTGAAATAAGTAAATTATTTTGTCATTTTCCATCCTCATGCATTAGCACGTTTCTGGGTTTGTGAAGTGCCAGGGACTGCTCTCTAGATACTTTTGCATCTATTTTGCCTGATTTCTCAGACTTTAGGTAGTAGTTATTTTCTCTTAGAATACAAGTTACTGAATGATGAGCAATATATTAGTGTTGGCAAAAATTCTAATTAGCAAGTCAAACTTTGGTTCCAAACAAAATGCCTGTCTACTTCAATATTGTAACCTAAGTTTAAATAAAGTTGGAACTCATAATTAGTTATTGTATTTGTTGGACCAAGTGATTGTGGATTCTTAGTGAACTCAGTGAAAGTCACTTGCACATTTGATATGTTGAGATGACTGAAACAAAATGGGCATCTGCAAATACAGAGATAGTTGTGACAGAAAAAGACAGAGCATCAGTTTTACTCTGAATAGAACTTTGGTGCTGGGAAGTTTCATGTCAGCCTTACCTTTGCAATGGATAAACCACTGCTTCTGTCTGGCCCTCCAAAACCAGATTGTTTTCTATAAAATATTTATCAATGATAATTTTCTACAAAATATTTATCAATGATAAGTGTCCAGTGTTGAGGTGTTGTTGTGAAGATTAAATGAGAAGTTCCATATTTAAAGGAGTAAACCGCTGCATGTTCATCAGTGTTGGATGACTATTTACTCTGTCATTGTCATCACCATCATCACCATCATCACCATCATCACCATCATCATCATCATCGTCGTCGTCGTCGTCGTCATCTGGTAAGATGGAGTGATACCCTTCCTGAGATCTGAGGAAAAGCAGCTGGCAACATTTGGGGCCTCATGTGGATGAATGTTGAAGGTGAAAACCTCATTCCCAAATTTGCTTCAACACATCAAGTTCACTAGTAGAATGTCTTCCAATAACAGGCTCTGCTCATCTGATTGGCTGCTATCTATTCCATGTGAGCCACTCATTTTTTAAAATATATCTTTTGTAATCCATGTTTCAGCCTGGCTTGATTCTGTTTTTCTCATGGCTGCCGTTTCTTAGTTAAATCACAAATATTGATACTTGATACATATATTGTGAATAATGTTTAACTTGATCTGTTTTGCCAAAAGTCTGTGGTTAATGTTTTCTTTGAATCTAATATAAAACAGAGTACTGTAAAATCCTTTAATTTTAATTTTTAGTTTTTAGAAGTACATCCATTCTCTACCAAGTACTGTTTCCTGTTATCCCTGTCCCAACTCTTTCAACAGGTCATCTAACAAGCTGAGCCCAGGAGGGCTATATGTAAACTTTAACACATATGTGTTTAAGTATATACTAGGTCCTATGACACATGATAATGGCTTTAAAATGAACATAAAAACCTTACTGAAAAAGCATGTGTGTGGCTGCGTGTACATGTTAGTTTGCCTTTACATGTATAAACCAAGTATTATTGTTTATTTGTTACAAAACAATTGACCATTTATGAGAGTATTCTACATTTCCACAGTTAGTACAAAGAGCACAGATTCAATATTAAAACCAGTTGAATCCTCACCAAGACCTTTGCTTTTAGTCATTTGGATGGCCTATGGATATATGTCTATAGAGAAATTTAAAATGAAATCACAGGCTTTGGGGGAAATTTTTTGTTTTAAATAATTAGATCATCTTTTCATTCATTTTCATGCTGTTTTTAGTCTAAGAGGGATCACTTTACTGCATGTTTAACAATTCTCCAATGAGAAGCAAACAGCAAATCAACTCAAATTAAGACCTGATCAATCACAGCCCTATCTGTATTGTTTTTGTTAATATTTATAGGAAGTAGCACATGGATGTTTCATAAACTTCCTAAAATTCTAGTTGCAGCATTTTAATATTTGTAACACAGATTTTCCTTGGTGCTTTAAAAAAGAGCTCCCATCCTGAAACTTTATGCTCAGGAGGTTCAGGAGTTCTCATACTACAACTGTACGCACTGCAGGTTTCACTGAATGCAGAAACTGAATATAGAAACTTACCTCACTCCTTGAAATAAAGGGACAATCAATTCTGAGTATTGTGTTTGCCGTGAGAAATGCTTTCTTTGAGAATGTGTATATCCTTTCAGAAGTTCTCTCTTATAGGTAATACTCAAAAGTGCTGGTTTCTCAGACAGTGAAAACAGAAGGAAAGATACTCAGCACACCTAGTCACAAGCTGACTATGCATTCTTTCTGTGTCCTGTGGAGACTCTCCTACTTCTTCCTTATTTCTAAAAATAAAGGACACAAAATTTCCTCTCCCATGTTATCCATAAAGTTGTGTCTATAGAAAGTAGAAGAAGGCACATAAAACAACTCGCTAGCAGGTTATTACTTTGAAGTCAGTTAAAAATATTTTCATCTTGGATGTTTTTCTTGACCACTGTAGATTTCTAGCAAATCTTTGCTCAAAAGACCAGTGTGTACAAACTAATGTTAATACTCAGTTGAATAAATGAGGAGCAGCGGTGGCCAGCATGCAGCCTGGTCCTTCCAACATGAATCACCAGCATTCATGTTGGACTTCAGAGGGCAGCACATGTGGACTAGCAGGGAAATATGGAGACACTGAACTCTCTGGGGATGGACCCATGAGGACGTCTGTAGGTCTGCATTTCTCTTTCCTAACAAAGAAGCAATTAAACTGCCTGCTGGAATAAGCTAGGTGATTTAACTTTGTCCATACATGTTTGCATGAGCCATTGTTTCTTTTTCTTTTCTAATTAATATATAATTTACACACAGTATTCAATAATCTTGTAGTATACAGCTTTCCTTTGTTCAAATATGTATTAATATGTATTTATGATCACCCTCAATAAATTTTTTTCAAACTCTTTGTATTCAAGCCTTTTTATTACCTATGGTATCTGGCATTTACCAAACTGTTTTAGCCTAGCTAATATTGCATTTGCAATAATGGTGCTAGGTACCTTCTTCACTACTTCCTATCTCTTAGAATAATGTATTTAGAGAGCATTTGTATTGTTGCCTTATCTAGAGTAGAACCATTTTTATTAAGAAGTTACACTCCAGTCAGGAGCCAGCAGCTTTCCTGGGTAAGTTTGGCTGTGCCCACTGCACCTTGAATCCCCCAGCCTCATTCACCCTCCCAGCTCCCCAACCCCATCTCTCCTCCTAGCAGGGTGACTGGCACATTTCTTGTCTTGGTGCCCCAGACCTCTGGATTGATCTTTTGGCCCAAACTCCCCACTGCTTCCTGATTCTTTGCATCCAGACCAACCCAATTCCTCCCTGTAGTCCCAGGAGCCCTCAGGCCTCTTCTTACTGCCACCTCCCTTTACATTCCTGGGAGGAACAGCCACCAGCTTCCTGGGGCCAACATCTTTCCTGGGCCCTGCTCCAAGGCCAGTGCAGCCCTCAAATTCCTGAGGCCAGCATCTTTCATGGAGGGATCCACACCTTAGGAGAAAGTCTGAGAGCATCTGATCCTCATCTGACTTGGGCCTCTGCAAGAACTCCTGAGCAGCAGGATGAAAGCAATTTGGCCACTCCAATATAAAATCAAAAGAGAGAAACTGAAACATAAACTAACCAGCTTTTCATGCCCAACAATTAAACCACAAAGGCACATAAAGTTTACAAAAAGAAGCAGAACTAAACTCTACAAAGGAAGGCTTAAGTATCACACAAGAATAAGAAACTACAAAAGAAATCAACATGTCAAAGTCACAGAGAAAAAAATAACATGAAAAATCAAAATCATATATCCCCACCAAGTACCAACAGTCCTCTAGAGGAGTACAATGAGAACCCCCTAGAGATAACATAGGACATGGAACTCAAAAGCACAATTATAAACATGATAAAAGAACTCAGTGAATTTAAAGAACACACAAAGAAAGAAATCAAAGAAATGAAAGTAAAAAGGGATAAATTTCTAATGAATTCAGAAAAGAGTTAGGAATATTGAAGAATACTCAAGCTAAAATGAAGAAGGAAGTGAAACACTCAGTAAGCCAATTAGATATGGTGGGAGAAAGCCTGACCATAAAGATGAATGGAAAACAGAATATCAGGACTGGAAGATAAAGTACATGAATTAGACCACTCAAACAAAGATTATGAAAAATTTAAGAAAACACAAGAATAGAATATACAGGAATTGTATGACATCATAAAAAGACCAAACTTATGCATCATAGGCATACAGAAGGAGAAGAATATCAGGATAATGGTATGGAACAAATCTTCAACAGGACTGTAGAAGAAAATTTCCCAAAATTAAAGAAAGACATGCCCATACAAATACAAAAATCATACAG